TGCCCCCACTCCTCCGGGGTGAAGGTCACGGCCACGTCCTCAAAGGTCACAGGCACCTGGAGAGTCCAGCAGAGGTGTTAGAACTGTCTGGGCTACCAGATGGGTGGTCACATGTGCTGGGCTAGAACAGGAACGGAGAACCCACCCCGCTGCCACCACACTTCCTGAGTGCCCTGGTCGGCCCTAGGCTCCAGCGGCAGAAGGCAATGCTGTGGAAAGAATGCAGCAGGGCAAAGGAAAGAAGCCTTCTGTATGGGAGCTGCTGGAGGCCGGGACACAGGAAACTGGGGGCCGTGCGATATGCACGGTAAGGATGAAGGAATGTTCGGGCATCCCAACGTCAGCGGCAATACCTAAGCCTCACGGGTCCAGCATGGGGCCTGACCCAGGCTGAGGGCTTCACATTTCATGTTGGTGACTATGTGTCCACAGATCCAAAGTGAGGCTCTTGGAATCAGTATACAAACACCTAGGGCTGGCCAGATAGCTCAGCAGATCAACGCGCCTGCTTGCTGTGCCAGCCCTGCCCCTAGGGCGCACTGAGAAAGGATGTGGCACTTGCCTGTAATCCCAGCACTTGGGAGGCTGAAAACGGGAGAATCACAATGAGTCTGATCTACATAGTGAGACCCTATAGATCCTGTACTAAATTTTTAAAAAAAGAAAAGAAAAGAAAGAAAGAATACAAACAGCTAAAACTGACCCTTCATGGCTGTGCAACTTCACCATTGAGCCCTGACTTCCAGGTCAATACAGCAATTCCCACATTATCCATAATAATCATAACAGAGAAAAACATGTTTCCTGCTCAATGGGCTTTAGGCTTTCTATCGACCCTTGCCCAGCTTCAGGGGTAAACACCAACACCAGTCACCAGGCCTGAAGTCAAGGGACCTGAGGGCAAGGGACCTTCACAAATGCACTTACTATCGTGGAGATAGGACTTCTGCCGAGATTTTAAAAGTGTAACATGAGTCACCTTGGATTTGGTGTCCAGACCCTGGAACATGGTAACTGGAGGAGGAGAAGGAGAGTGTGTCCCTGGGACCAAGGAAGGATCTGAAGAGAGAACTGGGGACT